TGAAATTTAAAAAATTCAACATGCTAATCGAATTTTCAGACAAATTCTGTCTGTTATCCGCTAAAATTCTATTATATAGAGAAACTACGCTCTACATCTACAGGTAACCCGAATGAATTCGGGTATCCGGGTTACCCGATTATATTCGAGTAACCCGTTTTAGTTTCGAGTACCCAGTTGGTAACCTGACTGGAACCCTATTTGCGATTTTCTTGAAAACGCGTAATTTTTACACCTGATCCTGCAATTTAATTAGATTGTAGTTTAAAAATCACCTTTTTTTTTGTCATGGCTAGGGTACTATTTTAACTAAAATGTAGCGGTAGTCATCGATTGATTAATTAAATCAGATCCAACCCGTTACCTCTTTGTGATTGATCGGGTCGTGATACGTAGGTGTAACCCCGGACCAATGCTCCCGAGTCAAAATGAATGAAATACACTATAACCTTTAATGAAAAATTAATCATTAAAAGATAAATATAAGATTTTATCATAAAAATATTATAGGATGACAACAAGTAGCATAGCATTTGGATTTTTTTTTTTTTTTTTTAAAAAAAAAAAAATACTTGTTATAGTAAAGAACAGTTTATAGAAAACCCTCTTGATATAGTGAATTTACTAGTAGACTCTCAATATAGTAAAGAAAATATCTTTGCCCGATTACTTTATACTATAACAAAGGTGACTTGTATATTATAGAATATTTAGAAGAAATGTAAAAATATTTGGCAAATTTCATAAAGTACAATCATATAAACCAAAGATTGAAAAAGCATTTATTTACATACTTTATTAATGTTTCAAAAGAAGATATTAATAAAAATAATAACAAATAAGAAATAACCAAATTCCTAACATAATACCAATCTCTAAAAAAAAAAAAAAAAAAAAAAAAATCTAATTGATAGTCGTAATTAGAAAGTGACCCGCCGACTATGACTCGTATTTAATTTTTATTTCATTTAAAGTTTCTTCCATTATTTCGAAATCTTGAAAAATTTCCGATTTAACTTTTTGCAGTTCTTGCGCGTATCTATTTGCTCAGATAACCATTGACGGGCATCGTCAAGTTCTTTTGTGAGTTTTTCTATTTTTATGTTTAAATTTGAAACATGCCTCTCAAAAAAACCCAGCATTTGATGAAATGAGTATTCCTAAAGTTATTGTTATTAATAGATAAATTTAACCCATTGTTTGTATATGTATAAAAAAAAAAAAAAAAAAAATACCTCATCATTATTTTCAATTTCATGCCGGGCTCTTTTTGCGGCCGAAGCGGAAGTGGCTCTTTTTGCGGCCGAAGCGGAAGTTTCGGCCTCAATTCTAATCTACAATAAAAAAAATTTAAAAAATTTGGTTAATGATGATCATTAAGTAGATATTTCTATTGATAGTATCATAAACAATAAGATTCTTTATAGAATAAGGAAAGTACATAACCGATTCCTCTTTTGGAATCAGAGATCTATCAAAGGATCATTAGGTTCCTTTTTGTGAGCATAGAACAAACCACCTTTACAAATATTTAATCCTGCGTAATCACTATAACCTAGATGAACTCACAAAAGCAACCCAAAGGTGGACATAGAATAAACAATTCTCTTGGGAGATCGATCCTGCGTAGCCACCATAGCTTAGTACCTCATAAAGAAGCCCAAAGATTGCCTTTGTGAACATAAAACGAATGTCGTTCCTGCGTAATCACCTTGGCTAAGACGGCCTCACAAAAGTGGCCTAATGGTTTTAACTATATCAGAAAATATACTTATATTTGACTTCGTTTGACTCGTTATATCTTTCTTTCTTTTGTTTAAGACATTTTTTAATATGCCTCTCAAAAAAACCCAGCATTTGATGAAATGAGTATTCCTAAAGTTATTGTTATTAATAGATAAATTTAACCCATTGTTTGTATATGTATAAAAAAAAAAAAAAAAAAAATACCTCATCATTATTTTCAATTTCATGCCGGGCTCTTTTTGCGGCCGAAGCGGAAGTGGCTCTTTTTGCGGCCGAAGCGGAAGTTTCGGCCTCAATTCTAATCTACAATAAAAAAAATTTAAAAAATTTGGTTAATGATGATCATTAAGTAGATATTTCTATTGATAGTATCATAAACAATAAGATTCTTTATAGAATAAGGAAAGTACATAACCGATTCCTCTTTTGGAATCAGAGATCTATCAAAGGATCATTAGGTTCCTTTTTGTGAGCATAGAACAAACCACCTTTACAAATATTTAATCCTGCGTAATCACTATAACCTAGATGAACTCACAAAAGCAACCCAAAGGTGGACATAGAATAAACAATTCTCTTGGGAGATCGATCCTGCGTAGCCACCATAGCTTAGTACCTCATAAAGAAGCCCAAAGATTGCCTTTGTGAACATAAAACGAATGTCGTTCCTGCGTAATCACCTTGGCTAAGACGGCCTCACAAAAGTGGCCTAATGGTTTTAACCATATCAGAAAATATACTTACATTTGACTTCGTTTGACTCGTTATATCTTTCTTTCTTTTGTTTAAAACATTTTTTAATAATTACTTGTGTTTTTAGGCGTGTTATAGGCGCGTGTTCTATTTTTTTGGAACAGAAGTAGAGATCTTTAAATAGCGTGTTTGGGCGGATTTGACTCTATTCGATATGTCACAAAATTCGATTTTATCGCAAATGATGATCAAAACATATTAATAACCAATCAAATTTCACTCAATATATAAAAATTCGATTTTGTCACATACAATTTTCAATAAACGAAATAAATAAATTATTATTATCAGTGAAGCGTTACTTTATTATATCCCGGTATTTTAAACAGTAATTTTTATTCTATTTTTTTGTCATCATTTTTTATTAGAGACGCATTACAACTTTTAGTTATATTGAATTAAACAATACAATAACGATAATACACATATTTGATTTAAATCACGTCTACATCTATAAGGGGTCTTTTCAAACCGACAAAACTAGTAGATACAGGTTTTAGTATTGTAGGTAGTGATGGGCATACGCGGGATCCGCGCGGGATTTTTAATATGATCCCCAATTCAGGCCAGCCGGCCCGCATTAACATAATTTTAAGAAACCCAATATGTAATCCTATCCCGCGTATCACGCGCGGATCACGCGCGTAACCCGCATCCCGCGCGGGATATTTTGGAAAACCGCGATTTGCCCATCACTAATTGTAGGTGTATTATATTAACCTTACTAATTTAGAAGTAAAGTAAAAATATATTATGAATAAGACTAGAGTAAAAAGTAAAGGGGCTGGTTTAACATTCGCGCTTCCATTTTCATTCTTGTCCACCTTGCCATTCTCAGCCATTCTCAGCTATTATCGCTTTAAGACCACTATTTGATTCATTTTCTACATCTTCTTTGCTGGGCTTTTGTCGTCTTTTGGTCCTCTTTTAACAATTACACCGAACATTTCATTGGCATTTGGCCCCTAGAATTCTAACTCTGTAAGTATTTAATTTCTTTGTTGTTCGTCTAGTACATTCCTTTATTTCAACTACATTTTTGGCGTCCTCACTTTCACTTTGATCTTCTAATTTTTTATTATCAACATTAATTTTATTACCACTCATCTTCAGCAGCAATGTAATAAAAGAGTTAGAAGAGGTTATAAGAGTAGAGATTGTACCCGGTTCAAAATTTAAGCTCCGATTACTCACACGCTTAAAATATCATTACCAGATCATTACCAGATCACGTCAAATAACCCGAGTGATCCGTTTGACCTGGTTGACCCGGTTATTCATAGATAGCAACTACTAAAATCACGAATGGCAAATGCATTTTTTTGCCTAATAAAGATCTTTCGCATTCCCAATTTTTGAATTGGTTAGATCTGTAAAATTTTAAAGGTGGATTCTAAATCTACGATAGTTCCAGGTTTACAGAGAATTTTAACTTTGAACTTTTAAATATGAGCATGCGATTGAGTGGATTCCATTGGATAGATTATCTAATATTACAGAAATTTGCAAAGGA